TCTACCTCTGAGGATGCTTGCCATAGATGTAGGCGAAATGTCAGGAGAGAAGGCCTCTAGACCATGGCCATATAGCCCGAAAAAACCTACAACAACCCAAGGGAGGTTTGTGCAAGAGAGCCACAAGCATGGAACCAAATGCAACAGTGGGCCATTTTAGGTCACCAAATTTTATAAGGGAGAAAGAGGATGTGATTGAGGAAAGAATCATGTAGTATTTGAAGTTCTGGGATTGTCTTCCAGAGAGAGTTGCTCTTGAAAGAGCCGGCTTTGCCTTGTGAGGCACAAGGATTGAGGCGCCTCGAGCAAGGCTTGGTTTTTAATCACCGTCATCGCTCTGAGCAGAGAGGCCTGCTTGAAGTCGGACGCTATCTCTCTAATAAATACCGACTTGCAGGGTTTGAGATCCTTCTTTCCTGCCGCTGCCCTTGATCTCCTGGAAGAGCCTGTCTGTGTTATCGGAGGGTTTGTTTTCAAAGCGGTCGCTCCGTTGTCATCCTGTACCACTCCACGATCCATAAAGAAAAAAGGAACTCTTCTCCTTGTGTCATTATTTTTGCTATGTGCCTTTGAGCCATTTCCGATTTGGGGTTTTCTTGGCAAGGTTTGCTCAGAGGAGAGTTTGTCGTTGCTTCTCTCTGAGGCTGAGAGAGTGTGGCCTCAAGCCAGCACCTTCATGGTATAATGAGGAACCCTCCGAATAGATACATCCTCTGTTCATGTCCAGCATTTATTTTTAAAGTTTTAACTATTACATCTGGCCCAGCCATAGGTTTTTAAATTCTTGTGTGTTATTGTCTACTTGTGAGTTATATTAATTGTATTGTTTATTTTGTTTATTGCTTGTTGTTTTTTATGTGTTGTTGGGCTTGGCCTCATGTAAGCTGCTCCGAGTCCCTTGGGAAGATGGTGGCGAGGTATAAATAAAGTTTTTTGTTATTTTATTATTACTTGGCCCTACCAGATATCAAACTATAACTCCCATCACACCTAATATGTGTCCCTCCCTACCCAATGTTTGTTTGTCGTGTCAGGAGCGACTTGAGAAACTGCAAGTCGCTTCTGTTGCAAGAGAATTGGCCGTCTGCAAGGACGTTGCCCAGGGGACGCCAGGATGATTTGATTTTTTTATCATCCTTGTGGGAGGCTTCTCTCATGTCCCCATAAGGAGCTGGAGCTGACAGAGGGAGCTCATCCGCCTCTCCCTGGATTCGAACCCTTCAGTCCTGCCGGCACAGAGGTTTAACCCACTACATCACCGGGGGCTCCCTACCCAATGATGGACATGACATCCAACAAGCCACGGCCCATTTGCAATTTCACTAGCCAATCTGTACATTATATATGTATATAAACTCATTTTCCAGCCTTTCTCCTTATCTGGGATCCAAGACAACTGAGAGTCCATGGCTCAAAGCGAATGAATCCCCGGGATTTGTAGTTTTGAAAGGTTGTTTTCCTTTTCTGCCAAATTGTGCCAAACCACAAGTTCCAGGATTTCATAACACTGAGCCATGGCAGTTAAAGCAGCATCAAACTGCATTAATTCAGCAGTGTAGATGCACTGTTAGAAGCATTTAGAATACAGGGTGCCATCAAAATAATTATGTATACACACATTTAAAAAAAAACAATGAAAAGGGCACTTCAGAAGATGTTTCAATATACAGTATATTCTGGCGTATAAGACTACTTTTTAACCCAAGAAAATCTTCTCAAAAGTCAGAGGTCGTCTTATACGCGGGTGTAGTCTTATGCATGGGAATTGTCTTAACAATATATTTTAATTGGAAAAGTTGGGGGTCATCTTATACGCCCAGTCGTCTTATATGCCGGAATATACGGTACATATATAAAATCCAAGGAAAACTAGGGGGGCATATACACTGTAGAATTAATGTAGTTTGATACTACTTTAACCATGAAAAGGCAATGCTCTGGAATCCTGGGATGTGTAGTTTTTGGCGAGGTCCCAGCCAAGACCTTGTAAAACTCCATCTCCCATGATTCTATAGCACTGAGCTAAGGCAGTTAAAATGCGATCAAATGCATAGATGCCCAGAATTGAAAAAAAAAGATAACCCTTGTCAGGGTGAGCTCCCATCTGTCAGCTCCAGCTTCTCATGCAGGGAAATGAGAGAAACCTCCCACACGATGGGAAAACATCCGGGCATCCCCTGGGCAACATCCATGCAGACGGCCAATTCTCTCACGCCAGAAGTGACTTGCAGTTTCTCAAGTCACTCCTGACACCAAAAATAAAAATAAAAACCAAACACATACACAATCCTATTAAAAATGCACACTTCTGCCAAATAAGATGTAAGTCTGCCTGAAAAAATGTCTTTGTTGGATAGCAGAGGAAAAAGAGATATCTGTTGTAGTTCTGCCTGTGATTGTGTCTTCTGTTCATAATGGGAATGGGGATAAAGGGTTTTCTGAGCCTGGGTCTGTTGGCAATGGGGACGAGGGTTTGCCTGGGCCCAGATGAGAGGCCTGAGGTGTCTCATGAAGATTCACAAGATCACATTCCTGAGAGAGACCCTCAATAGTCTTTCTCTGAGAAACTGTCTTCTGAAGATGAATTGTCAGGTTCAGAATTCAATGAGAGTGAAGTTTTTTGTAAACAGAGGCATAGTTCTCAGGCACAATGAAGGTCAATTTGTCTGCAGGAAAAGAGAGATAAGAAACCCTTATCTACTTGTAAGGGCAAGAGAAATGCTTTCCTTTCAGTTCTGGGATTAGGAAAAGCTTTGTATTGATATAAGAGAAAGAATTGCCTCAGTGCATCAATGTCAGAATTTCATGACGGTCTTGTTTCCAAGTGTTCCTAGTTTCATGTAGCATTGTATAATGGCAATTCCTGTTGCACAAATCCCATTGGCTTTTGGTGTGCAACAGTGCAATGGATCCCACAGGACAATATTGCCTCCCATATTGCCTGTGTGCAGCTGGCTGGGAGTCAGCTGCATTAAGATCACTACTGACCGAAAGGCATGAGTTCGAAGCCAGCCCAGGTCAGAGTGAGCTTCCGACCAAAATTGTGTAGCTTGTCGACCTTTGCAGCCTGTAGGATAGTTGCATCTGTCAAGTAGGAAATTTAGGTACCACTTATGTGGGGAGGCTAATTTAACTGATTTACGAGGCCATAAAAATCTCCAGGTAGTATGCAAAGAATGAGGAAGTACTTCATCAGTGTCACAAACAGACAGTGAAGTGACAGCTCCCCTTGTGGCCAGAAGCTGGAATGTTAAATAGCCTCTCTATATATGTTGTGTGTCTATGGCATTGAATGTTTGCCGTGTATATGTACATTGTAATCCATCCTGAGTCCCCTGCGGCGTGAGAAGGGCAGAATATAAATACTGCAAATAAATAAATAGTAAGTTTTGCCAGGCTCCTGATCTGTGTATTGGATTTTCACGTTGTCTTGTTCTATGGATTTTGTACGTTTGAATCTTGAGTTTTACATTGTGCCTTGAACAGACTATTCTTTGTTGTTGTTCATTCGTTCAGTCATCTCCGACTCTTCGTGACCTCATGGACCAGCCCACGCCAGAGCTCCCATCACCCCCAGCTCCTTCAAGGTCAGTCCAGTCACTTCAAGGAGGCCATCCATCCATCTTGCCCTTGGTCGGCCCCTCTTCCTTTTGCCTTCCACTTTCCCCAGCATCATTGTCTCTAGGCTTTGCTGTCTCCTCATGATGTGGCCAAAGTACTTCAACTTTGTCTCTAGTATCCTTCCATCCAATGAGCAGTCGGGCTTTATTTCCTGGAGGATGGACTGGTTGGATCTTCTCGCAGTCCAAGGCACTCTCAGAACTTTCCTCCAACACCACAGTTCAAAAGCATCGATCTTCCTTTGCTCAGCCTTCCCTAAGGTCCAGCTCTCACATCCGTAGGTTACTACAGGGAATACCATGGCTTTGACTAGGCGGATCTTTGTTGCCAGTCTGATGTCTCTACTCTTCACTATTTTATCGAGACTGGACATTGCTCTCCTCCCAAGAAGTAAGCGTCTTCTGATTTCCTGGCACAGTCTGCATCTGCAGTAATCTTTGCACCTAGAAATACAAAGTCTGTCACGGCCTCCACATTTTCTCCCTCTATTTTCCAGTTGTCAATCATTCTTGTTGCCATAATCTTGGTTTTTTTGATGTTTAGCTGCAACCCAGCTTTTGCGCTTTCTTCTTTCACCTTGATTAGAAGGCTCCTCAGCTCCTCCTCGCTTTCGGCCATTAGAGTGGTGTCATCTGCATATCTGAGGTTGTTAATGTTTCTTCCAGCAATTTTCACCCCAGCTTTGCATTCATCAAGCCCCGCACATCGCATGATGTGTTCTGCATACAAGTTAAAAAGGTTGGGTGAGAGGATGCAGCCTTGCCGTACGCCTTTCCCAATCTTGAACCAGTCTGTTGTTCCGTGGTCAGTTCTGACTGTTGCTACTTGGTCCTTGTACAGATTCCTCAGGAGAGAGACAAGGTGGCTTGGGATGCCCATCCCACCAAGAACTTGCCACAATTTATTATGATCCACACAGTCAAAGGCTTTAGAATAGTCAATGAATAGTCTTTATCTTGGTACTATACTGTTTTTAACATTTTTACTGTTTTGCCTACACATTTATTCTTCAATAAACTGCTTGCTGATTTTATCAAGCTGGTGTGGTATTTAAGGTCAGAGGTGTTCCATCTCTGAAGTACAAGATCCTGAGATCTGGTAAGCTACTAAGAACGAAAGTCCCTGTAAAACTACAACTTCCAGGATTCCATAACATTGACCCATGGCAGTTAAAAGTGGTGTCAAACTGCATTCATTTTTCAGCGTAGATGCCTTCCTTGTGTCCTCACTGTTTAAGATTTTGGAGAAATCAATAGAAACTCTTCCCTTGAATATTTTAAAGCTTGGCTCTTGGAAAGGAAAAGGAAAAAGAGAAACTGCATATAGAAAAGAAATGGTCACAGAAGAATCCACACACAGACATTTCACGCCTCGGGTACCTTGACATACGCCACAATTTTCAAGGAGATGGTGGCCAAGTAGAGGGAGTTCATTGCGAAATCCATCAGGTTCCACCAATCGTGGACGTACTCCGTGAAGCCGCCATCCCACATCTCTTTGATTTCTCCCCAAATAAAGCCTGGAGAGGAAAGAGAAGAGGAAGAAAAGGAATCAATTTCCATCAGACATCATTACCGGCCGGGCACCGAAGCAGCGCGGATTGGGATGTAAGGAAAAGGCCATTGGAAAAGTAACGGCCCGGAAATAACTTGTAGTTCTCCTTTTGCCTCCGTCGCTGCCAAATGTAATAATGCGGCTTTCCGAGCAATTTGCTAGGAGGGAACATGAAATAGAAGGGAGGGCACTGGCATAAATAGTTGGACCTTGACTTCAAAAGAAAGAAAAGGACGGGAAAAAAATAAAGGTAATGAAACGTCCATTTGGGCTGACTGAAAAATCCTTTTAGATCAAGATGAAAACACAAAGTACAATTGGGCTTTGCCTAAGAAGCTCCAATTAACCTTTTTGGGGAAAGTTTGCTTTCTTCTTAGCTAACGTTTGCCATTTCGATTTCCCTGATCTCCAGCTTATTTTGAACTTAGCTGCATTTTCTCCATTAGAATATATAATTATGAATGATCCTGGTTGCAATGTAATGCTTTGGAGAGAGACTGGACACTTAAGAGACATTGAAGGATGGGATATACATCTTAGTTGTGTGGCATTAACATGTGCACATGTAGTTACACATGTGATATGCTGCATGACTTATGTGTTGAACCTGTGTTAAAGGGGCTGGGCTTTAGCACAGCAGGTTAACCACCAGCTGCAGTAAATATTGCCATTGAAAGGTTGACAGTTCAAAGCTCGGGTCAGGGTGAGCTCTTGACCTTTATCCCAGCTTCTGCCTACCCAGCCGTTTTGGAAACAGCAATGTGAGTAAGCGGGGAGGTATTTAAAGCACTTATAAGGAAATGGAAATGGAGATAGAATCAGAATCAGAGAGTTGGAAGAGATGTCATGAGCCATCCAGTCCAACCCACTGCCAGGAAGCAGGAATATTGCAGTGAAAGCACCCCCGACAGATGGCCATCCAGCCTCTGTTTAAAAGCTTCCAAAGAAGGAGCCTTTACCACACTCTGGGGCAGGGAGTTCCACTGTTGAATAGCTCTCACAGTCAGGAAGTTCTTCCTAATGTTCAGATGGAATCTCCTTTCCTGTAGTATGAAGATATTTCTCCATTGCGTCTTAGTCTCCAGAGCAGCAGAAAATAAGCTTGCTCCCTCTTTGCTATGACTTCCCCTCACATATTGATCCATGGCTCTCATCATGTCTCCTCTCAGCCTTCTCTTCTGCAAGATAAACATGCCCAGCTCTTTCAGCCGCTCCTCATAGGGCTTGTTCTCCAGACCCTTGATCATTTGAGTCACCCTCCTCTGGATGCATTCCAGCGTAGAGGCAACATCTCTCTTCACTTGCAGTGCCCAGAATTGGACACAGTGTGATTCCAGGTGTGGACTGACCAATACGGAATAGAGGGGGAGCATGACTTCCCTGAATCTAGACACCAAACCCCTATTGATGCAGGCCAAAACCCCATTGGTTTTGGGTTGTTGTAGGTTTTTTCGGGCTATATGGCCATGTTCTAGAGGCATTCTCTCCTGACGTTTCGCTTGCATCTATGACAAGCATCCTCAGAGGATGCTTGCTATAGGTGCAGGCGAAACGTCGGGAGAGAATGCCTCTAGAACAGTGGTTCTCAACCTTCCTAATGCCACGACCCCTTAATATGCTTCCTCATGTTATGGTGCTCCCCAACCATAAAATTAGTTTCATTGCTACTTCATAACTGTCATTTTGCTGCTGTTATGAATAGTAACGTAAATATCTGATATGCTGGATGTATTTTCATACATTGGACCAAATTTGGCACAAATACCAGATACGCCCAAATTGAATACTGGTGGGATTGGGGGAGGGTATTGATTTTGTCATTTGGGAGTTGTAGTTGCTGGGATTTATAGTTCACCTACAATCAAAGAGCATTCTGAACTCCACCAATGATGGAATTGAATCAAACTTGGCACACAGAACTCCCATGACCAACAGAAAATACTGGAAGGGTTTGGTGTCATTGACCTTGAGTTTTGGGAGTTGTAGTTCACCTACAATCAAAGAGTGTGCTGAATTGCAACAATGGAACTGAATCCAACTTGGCACACTGAACTTCCATCACCAACAGAAAATACTGGAAGGGTTTGGTGGGCATTGACCTTGAGTTTTGGAGTTGCAGTTCACCTACATCCAGAGAGCACTATGGACTCAAACAATGATGGATCTGGACCAAACTTGGCATGAATACTCAATATGTCCAAATGTGAGCACTGGTGGAGTTTGGAGGAAACAGACCTTGAGATTTGGGAGTTGTAGTTGCTGGGATTTATAGTTCACCTACAATCAAAGACCATTTTGAACCCCACCAACAATAGAATTGGGCCAAACTTCCCATACAGAACCCCCATGACCAACAGAAAATACTGTTTTCTGATGGACTTTGGCGACCCCTTCGACACCCCCTCGCGACCCCCTCAGGGGTCCCGACCCCCAGGTTGAGAAACACTGCTCTAGAACATGGCCATATAGCCTGAAAAAACCTACAACAACCCAGTGATTCCAGCCATGAAAGCCTTCGACAACCCATTGGCTTTTTTAGCTGCCAAAACTTGCCAAGGAAGCTCTGGGGTTGCCAAAAGTCGGAGATGACTTGAAGTCACAACAATAAATATTTCAGTATCTTCCCCTTTACCTTAATTTCTTTACCTTTCTGCCCCACTTTCGTTACTGATGCAGACAAATGAGTAGATTAACGGCCGCCGAAGAACCCCATATGTTACATTTATTGTGAGTAAGCCTTGTTAGGTCTGTTTCTATAGTGACTGCCTGCCATGAACGTGGCTGTTCTTTCCGTTCAATCAATAACCCCATCCTACTTTTGCTCAACTGCAAGGAGTGCAACCTTTTCCAAGAGGAGAGATGGGAGCTGCAAGACGAAACATGAACGCAAAAGGTGCCACCCGCTTATTCACAACAATCTCGTCCTCGGCTCATTATTTCCCCCAAAATCCACACCGTTTCCCTCAAAGGCCTTCGTGCAATTTCAACTTGGAGGCAGGTGTTAAGAAACAGGGCTCAGGTCAGCAACAGTTTGCTTGCAGGGATATGCCTGCCTTTTCCATCCATAGAGGTGCAGACTCCTCCCTTGGAAGCTTCCCTTCCAAGCCTTCATTTTTAGAAAGGGAGAGCGAAGCGCACGAATAGCGGAAGTGAGGGCGCACAAGATGCGGCAGACTAATTGGTTTGAATTTTTCCCCCTATGCCAATCATACCTCAGAGGAAGATTTCCAGACGAGGGATGTTCAACCTATATATAGCTTTGGAAATTCTGGGGGGGAAATTAATAATTTTCCACAAAAATAAGTACAAGTACATCTACACTGATGAATTGATGCAGTTTGACCCCACTTTGAACTCCCATGGCTCATTGCTATGGAAACCTGAGAGTTGTAGTTTGGGGAGGCACCAGCACTATTTGGCAGAGATGACAAAGGCATTGTAAAACTACAACTCCCAGGATTCCATTGCATTGAAGCTACCAGCATTTTTTTAAAAACTCTAAAACCAGGACAGTAAATAAAGAGCAACACTAGACAGGAAGCAGCCAGGCAGCCAGGCTTTGAAGCTGCAAGGCTATTAAATTCCAATCAAGAATCAAGGTGGCCAATTGCAACATTCACACTTTTGAGTTGTAGTTTGGGGGGGCACCAGCACTGTTTGGCAGATATGGCAAAGACATTGTAAATCTACAACTCCCGGGATTCAATTGCATTGAAGCTACCAGCATAAAAGAACTCTAAAACCAATAAAGAGCAACACTATGAAAACAGGGGAATTCCAGACAGGAAACAATCCGGGCCAGCTAACACCTCCCAACAAAGTATTCCCCCAGACAGGAAGCAGCCAAGCTTTGAAGCTGCAAGGCTATTAAATTCCAATCAAGAATCAAGGTGGCCACTTGCAACAATCACACTTTTCAGTTGTAGTTTGGGGAGGCACCAGCATTGTTTGGCTGAGATGGCAAAGACGTTGTAAAACTACAACTCTCAGGAGTCCATTGCATTGAAGCTACCAGCATTAAAAAAATTATAAAATCAGGACAGTAAATAAAGAGCAACTCTAAGAAAACAGGGGAATTCCAGACAGGAAACAATCCGGGTCACTTAATACCTCCCAACAAAGGATCCCCCAGACAGGAAGCAGCCAAGCTTTGAAGCTGCAAGGCTATTAAATTCCAATCAAGAATCAAGGTGGCCACTTGCAACAATCACACTTTTGAGTTGTAGTTTGGAGAGGCACCAGCACTGTTTGGCAGAGATGGCAAAGACATTGTAAAACTACAACTCGCAGGATTCCATTGCATTAAGCAATAGCAGTTGAAGTGGTGTCAAATCACTGTTATTTCCTAACAGATCAGAGACAACTAGGTTATCAGTCTAACAACTGAAAAACCAAATTGCCTTGCATGAGTACATGTGGTTATTTTACTCTTCTCTGGAAGAGTTATGGTTTCAAATGGTTGTGAATGCCATTTTTCTCCAAAAAAGGCTATGGAGATTCTCGTTCATCCATTGTTAAATTCTTCCAATCAGAACGCTGCCACATACACCGCCCTCCCTCCACAATTCCTCTGTCCGATACAAACACTCTTCTTTATTATATACTAGCTTGGGGACCCGGCGTTGCCCGGGTTATTAGAGAAAGTGGGTAATGGCGGTTCTGTATGCCAAGTTTGGTCTTTATTGGTCATTGGATAATGGTCGCAGTGGTTTTAGTAAGTGAGTGAAGGTACTGCAAATCCCATCATCCATGGTCCATCCCCCTTAGAACTCCATCAGGATGTAGAGTGGGTCATGGGGGCTCTGTTGCCAAGTTTGGTCTTTATTGGCCATTGGATGATGGTCACAGTGGTTTCAGTAAGTGAGTGACGGTACTGCAAATCCCATCATCTATGGTCCATCTCCCTTAAACTGCAGCAGGATGTAGAGCGGGTCATGGGGGGCTCTGTGTGTCAAGTTTGGTCTAGATTGGTCATTAGATGAGGGTTGCAGCAATCTTGGGAAGGGAGTGGAGGTACTTGAAGTCCCATCATCTGTCCTCCTCCAAACTGCACGAAGATGTAGAGTGGGTCATTGGAGCTCTGTGTGCCAAGTTTAGTCTTGATTAGTCATTGGCGAGGGTCTCAGTGGTCTCAGGAAGTGAGCAAAGGTACTTCAAGTCCCATCATCCATCTCCAAATTTTTCCAAACAACACCAGGACGTAAAGTGGGTCATGAGAGGTCTATGTGCCAAGTTTGGTCTTGATCCGTCATTGGATGAGGTTTGCAGAGGTCTCAGAATGTGAGTGAAGGTACTGGAAGTTCCATCATCCATGGTCCACCCTTCTCCAAAACTGCAGCAGGATGTAGAGTGGGTCATGGGGGCTCTGTGTGCCAACGTTGGTCTTGATTGGTCATTAGATGAGTTTTGCAGCAGTCTTGGGTAGTGGAGGTACTTGAAGTCCCATCATCCATGGTCTGTCGTCCTCCAAACTGCTCCACGATGTAGAGTGGGTCATTGAAGCTCCATGTGCCAAGTTTAGTCTTGATGAGTCATTGGCGAGGGTCTCAGGAAGTGAGTGAAGTGACTGCAAGTCCCATCATCCATTGTCAAATTCTTCCAAACCGCACCAGGATGTAGAGTGAGTTATGCAGGCTCTCTGTGTAAATTGTGGTCCTGATCCATCATCGTTGGCAGTTGTAATGGTCTTAGGAAGGGAGTGCAGGTATTGCAAGTCCCATCGTCCATGGTGCATCCTCCTTCAAACTGCACCTGGATGTAGAGTGCGTCATGGAGACTCAGTGTGCCAAGTTTGGTATTTATTGGTAATTGGATGAGGGTTGCAGTGGTCTGAAGAATTGAGCAATGGTACTGCAAGTCCCATAATCCACGGTCCATCCCCGGCCAAACCACACCAGGACGTAAAGTGGGTCATGAGAGGTCTATGTGCGAAGTTTGGTCCTGATCAGTCATTGGATAAGGTTAACAGCGGTCTCAGAATGTGAGTGGTGGTACTGCAAGTCCCATCATCCATGGTTCATAGTCCTCCAAACTGCAGTAGGATGTAGAGTGGGTGATGGGGGCTCTGTGTGCCTATTTCGGTCTGTATTGGTAGTGTTCTGACCCATCCCCCGGCCTTTCCTTTCCTCTCTTTGTCATCTCGGAATGTTGGATTTGAGGCTGGCCAATCAGAGACCATATGCAAATTTCCTTCTGTCATGCCCCGTTTCTGCCATGAACCCTCTTCTCCACCAGGGGCTCCTATTGAAGCTGGCCAATCAGAGACCATATGCAAATAGCACCACAGCGGCAGCCAATCAGAACGCTGCCACATACACCTCCCGCCACACTTCCTCTGTCCGATACAAACAAACACTCTTCTTTATTATAGATACAGATATTTATAGACTGCCCCTCTCAGCCCAGAGGCGACTCGGAGCAGCCAGGCCTTTCCAAAACATCAAAGAAATTAAACCACATTCTGCAATATGGGCGTCAACATGATTTGCACAGAAATAGCAGCCTCCACAACAACACGGATCTGCATGCAATTCTCATTAAGTCCCAACTCACATTTGCATCCCTGGACTTACCTAAAACCCAGGGGAGGATCATCCATTCGACGACGGTGGGAGGAGGTCCCTGCATGTGGAGGTCGGTTCTGACGATGTGCTGCGAGGCGAGGAGGAGCATGAAGAGGAAGGTCAGGTAGGAGCCCGTGTGGCAGATAAACTTTATAAATGGCTTTTTGATGAACAGTCCCAGCCTGCTCTTTGGCGCAATCAAGTAGGACACAGAAAGCACAGGGAAGAGGAGTCCAATGGTGATGCAGGTCAAGAGCTTGACTGCCCAGTGCTTCCGCCGCCATCCGGGAAAGCCGTCGTACCAAAGCGTTGCAAGCAGCTGCTGGCAGTTGGGCTGGGCAACAAACTGGGGCGAGAGAGGAAGGGTGAACAAAGTGAGTGACAACATTGCACAGAGTGACACTCCCAACAAGAACAATCTTGGGCTGTGTTGCACCCCAGGCCTGAGAACACCTTTGACCACAGCACCACATAAGAGTCCAGAACATAAGCAAACAGTTTGTTGTAGAAACACATTAAAACTATAGGAAAAAAATTGGGAATAAAGAATGAAGATGTATAATCCAAAAAGGTTAGAAATAGGTGATAATCCAACAGGGATCCAAATATCTTTTACAGATTTAAAGGCAACACAATCCAGGAATATCCCAAAGTCACCAGAACAGTTTAAGTCCACCAGCAAAAGGTATACCTAATAAAACTTGAACAGGAACCCCCAAAACAGGAACATGGAAACTTCCAAAATACTTCAAGCCAAAACCAAGGTTTGAAACAAGAACCAGAGATCTCAGGCTTAGCTCCTCACTTAGGAACTGCATTGTCTGAACTAACTTTTAGGTAAACAACTTGCTAATTCAAAGGCACCCATGAAGTCATACCTTTTCCCATGAATTTTATGATTAGATCTGCTCCCTTCCTCCGAACATTTCGGAGGCAAGTTAAAATATGGCTGTTCGAGCAAGCGTTTACAAATGCAGAGGAGCTAATATAGGAAATCGAATGGTTTGACAATGGAACTGGACAATGTTTGATAATAATGAGACACTAATGATGTTTTTATTTCTTTTGTGGTGTTTTATATTGTTTAATGTTTTAATCTGTATTATGTTTTTATATGTACTGATTTGTTGGAAACCGCCTTGAGTCACCAATTGGCTGAGAAAGGTGGTATACAAATACAGTAAATAAATAAATAAACAAATAAATACATTTTATCTCCCACTTTCCCAAGTAATCGCTCTGACAGGTGCTGCCTATTCTCTGCTCTGATCTATAAATGGAGACTTTTGTTGATCTCCGTAGCTCTAAGTGTTTTCCCATGAGAGCTTTCCATTTACATTGCCTTCCAACTGAGTACCGTGGCCTGTATAAGATGTTAGTTCTGACCTTTAAAATTCTTTACGGCCAAGGTCCATTGTACCTTAGGGACCGCCTCTCCTTCTCTCATCATCGGAGGTCGCAACGACCAGCCCAACGCAACTTACTCCATATACCGGGTCCTAGAGAAGTGCACTTGGAAAGTACCAGACACAGGGCTTTCTCTATTTCTGCCCCTGCCTTATGGAATTCCTTGCCACCCTATATGAGAGCCATGCGTGACTTAGGGCCTTTTACTCTAGCACTTAAGACCTGGCTTTTTACTAGAGCATTTGATCTCTGTTAATTTTAAAATTCTGTATATATGTATTTTATCTTTTACAATTTAGCTGTAAATCGCCTAGAGCATTCTCAGATGGAGGGCAATTAATAAGTGATTAAATATGATGATGATGACGGTATCACTTAAGTCTTCGCCCGACTCCTTATCTAATGTTGCAGTTTCTGGCTCCTCTGACTGACCTTGAAGCCCTGCACTTTCCAAGCCAGGTTTTGTACAGAAAGAGGCATAATTCCCCTGGCTAATATTTTCATCACTTTAAGCCCCAGGAAATCCCACAGGCAATTCCACAATCCTCTCTAAATTATCAGTGCACACAACAGCCTCAGGAGCCTCAGGCTGATCTACAACAGGTTGGATCAAATTTCCATCTATGCCAGAGACAGCTGGAAGGTTCTGTGTTGGTTGAGCAGCAAATTCCTTGCCATTTTTTAATGTGGAACTATCCAAGGTGCTGAACTCGGAGCCCAAACTTCAGCATCTTGGATGAGCCTTTTGTAGCTATCCAAGTTTGAAAGCCTATCCTTTGCTCATACTAATATAGAAACTGCTAGCTGTTGTTGATTCAAGATAAGATGGTTTGGGCACCAAAGTTGAACTTCCACCTCATTACTATAGAAGCCACTATTCGCCAGTGATCTAGGGTGAGATGGTAAGGTCCAAAATTGAACTTTGCTCCCACTAATATAGAAACTATTAACCATCTTTGATGTATGATGTGATGGTCTGAGGTGCAAAATTGTGCTTCCACCTCACTAATATAGGGCTATTAACCACCATTTTAAAAGCCTGTGAAATTGATAGGGTCATCATCATCACCACCATCAATTTTATCTATTACCCACCTCTCCTTAAGGTTCAAGGTGGGGCACAAAAATGTTACAATACAGAGATTAAAATGATATCATTAAAGCACATAGATTAAATGACAAAGACCTAAAATTAAAACACATTAAAATCATTCATACCAATATAATGTAGGTTTAGATTCATAGGTTAAAAAGGACTGGATGGGCCTTTAGGTTCTGTTTTAAATTCTGGCATAAGCCAACTTGAAGACACACATCTATATAAATAAAACTGTAATGTTCGTTTGTGGGATCAACATAACTCAAAAACCACTGGGGGAATTGACACCAAATTTGGACACAAGACACCTAACAACCTAATGTAGGTCCTTCACTAAAAAAAAAAGATTTTGTCATTTGGGAGTTGTAGTTGCTGGGATTTATAGTTCACCTACAATCAAAGAGCATTCTGAACCCCACCAACAATGGAATTGAACCAAACTTGGCACACAGAACTCCCATGACCAACAGCAAATACTGGAAGGTTTTGGTGGGCAGTGTCCTTTGGTTTGGGTGTTGTAGTTCACCTACATCCAGAGATCACTGTGGACTCAAACAATGATGGAACTGGTACAAACTCTACATGAATACTCAATATGCCCAAATGTGAACACTGGTGGAGTTTGGGGGAAATGGAATCTTGACATTTGAGAGTTGTAGTTGCTGGGATTTATAGTTGACCTACAATCACAGAGCATTCTGAACCCCACCAAGGATGGAATTGAACCAAACTTGGCACACAGTTCTCCCACGACCAACAGAAAATACCGAAAGGATTTGGTTTTGGAGTTGTAGTTCACCTATATCCAAAAATCACTGTGGACTCAAACAATGATAGATCTGGACCAAACTCTACACGATTACTCAATATGTCCAAATGTGAACATTGGTGGAGTTTGGGAAAAATAGAATCTTGGCATTTGGGAGTTGTAGTTGCTGGGATTTATAGTTCACCTACAATCACAGAGCATTCTGAACCCCACCAACGATAGAATTGGGCCAAACCTCCCACACAGAACCCTCATGTCAGCCACAGCAACTCGTGGCAGGGGGCGGCTAGTCATTAAATATATATATATTGTGTTTTCAAATATTGCAATGCAGTATTTTTAATAGAAACGTTATTATGTGAGAGAGTGCATGCGCACGCATGCAAAAAAAAGTCTGCAAACACCATAAACCAGTACCGTCTGAGTCTATCCTCAGTGAAATGATTTCCTTTTGCAAATCTGACTCTGCCTGATAAAAAATTAAGAGGGTTCATATTTCATTCAGGAGTTTCTTACAAAATTATCGTCGGAAAAGGAAAAAGAAGAGATAGTGAAACATATGTGTGTGTGCTGCCATCGAAAACAACAATATCGTCTCTTTAAGTGTTTGGTTTTTGGGAGGAAATGAACCCAAAGAGTATGAGAAACCTTCCAAGACTCACTCTTTTAAAAAAAAAAAACAGCCATCATCAAAAGTGCAATTCACAGTTGGATGGCAATTGAATTACTCTCCGGTCATTGAAACGCAACCTCCTTTGACTTAAAAGTTCTATGATTCGGAAGGATATAGAACCATGTCAATAGGCTTTTCCTTTTAAGATCAAGACCACAGAAAAGTGTTGGAAGTAGAAGGTTGGAAGGGGAAGCGGGAGAGGCATTGAAGCACCATTGAGTGCATCTACAATTCAGTGGTTCTCAACCTACCTAATGCTGTGACCCCTTAATACACCTCCTCATGTTGTGGGGGCCCCCAACCAGAAAATTATTTTCATTGCTATTTCATAATTGTAATTTTGCTATTGTTATGAATCGTCCTGTAAATATCTGATATGCAGGATGTATTTTCATTTACTGGACCAAATTTGGCACAGATACCCAATATGCCCAAATTTGAATACTAGTGGGGTTGTGGGGGGATCTGATTTTGTCATTTGGGAGTTGTAGTTGCTGGGATTTACAGTTCAACTACAATCAAAGAGCATTCTGAACTCCACCAATGACGGAATTGAACCACACTTGGTCCACAGAACTCCCATGAACAACAGATAATACTGGAAGGTTTTGGTGGGCATTGACCTTGAGTTTTGGAGTTGTAGTTCACCTACATCCACTCAAACAATGGCGAATCTGAACCAAACTCGGCATAAACACTCAATATGCCCACCTGCAAATACTGGTGGAGTTTGGGAAAAATAGGCCTTGACATTTGGAAGTTGTTATTGCTGGGATTTATAGTTCACCTACAATCAAAGAGCCTCTTTAATCCAACCAAAGAGTTGGGCGAAACTTCCCACACAGAGCCCCTATGACCAATAGAAAATACTGGAGGGATTTGGGAGGAATTTACAGTGATTTAGGGGAGATGTAGTTTACCTACCTCCAGAGAGCACTGTGTTCCAAAGACAATCAGAAATATGTGTTTTCTGATGGTCTTTAGTGGCCCCTCTGACACCCCTTCGTGACCCCCTCAGGGGTCCTGACCCCCAGGTTGAGAAATGCTGATATAGAACCATGTCAATAGGCTTTTCCCTTCAAGATCAAGAACACAGAAAGGTGTTGAAAGTAGAAGGTTGGAAGGGAAGCGGGGGAGGCATTGAAGCACCATTGAGTGCCTCTACATGGACAAACTGAGGCCCTCAGGTGTTTTGGACTTCAACTCCCACAATTCCTAACAGCCTCAGGCCCCTTCATTTTCCACCTCAGTCACTTAAGCAGTGGAGACGTGCTTTGGCTCAGAGCTAAGATTTCATAGCAGGGAAAGAGGGGAGAGGCCCTTTTGTAACTCTGAGTTGTTTGTACGTCGGATGTTCCTAACTCTGGGACTGCCTGTCGATGAAGTTCAGCCACGGTA